TGGCGGGGGGGGGGGCTCCAGGCCATGCTTCCAGTGAGTTTGGACTCGCCGGCAAGTGGGAGCCCTGGGGAAAGAAAGGGCTCCCCAGGGCTGCTGGCCTGCTCGCCATGGGCTTGTCTAAGCTGGTGGGTACACATACCCCTAGGGGCACAGGCCACTAGTACCTGCGAGGAGAGGGGAGGGGAAAGGGGTGCAGGGAGGGCCATCCAGAGGAATGGGGTGGGAGTATGAGGGGGCACCCCACTTAACAATTGAAATTTTAGCAGAGGCACAGAGGGGCAGTGCACATCAGTCAGATATGCCAAGGGGGTACATAGAGCTCTTCCAGAGGGTACACCAGCTCTTCCAGACATGTGTCTAGTTTTACAACAGGTGACATGAAACACACTACCAAAGTTAGCACAAGCTAGGGATGTCAGGGTTTTGTTGCTTACACAATTAACCGATAAGCCTAGGTCTATTGGTTAATCCTATCAACCACTTACAGAAGCAGCAAGAGGGGGAGTGCATCAGGCAGCAAGGGGGGGGGGCGGTCAGGGTTGTTCCCCACTCTGGCACTCCAAGGGTATGTCTAGACTACATGGTTTGATCGACGGAGCCATGTAAACTAGTTTACCTGGCAGCGTCAATGAAGCGGGTATTTAAATAATCCCAGCTTCATTAAAATAAACATGGCCACCACGCTGTGCTGACGATCAGCTGATCCGGCACAGCGCAGCAGTCTAGATGCGGATCTGTCGGCTGTGAAACGAGGTTTGCCAACCAATCCTGTAAAGGCTTCCCCAGCCAACAGATCCGCGTCTAGACTGCCATGGTGTGCCGGATCAGCTGATCGTCGGCACAGCGCGGAGGTCATGTTCATTTTAATGAAGCGGGGATTATTTAAATCCCCACTTCATTGACTATGCCGGGTAAACTAGTTTACATGGCTCCGTTGACGGAGCCATGTAATCTAGACATATCCTAAGTGCAGAAGATGGGGGCCCGCAAAGAGCTCAAAAGAAAAAACAAACAACAACAACAAAACCTTTGCCTCTACAGGCACTGGTTACCAAAACTTCCCAGAGTCACAGATTCCCTGGCTCTGAGAAATAAACAGACAAACAAACAAGCTGCCAGCCACCTTCAAGTGATTTTTTTTAATCCCTAAAACTGGGGATGAACACTTGAACCTACCCCTAGGGGTACCCAAGCTCTTCTGCCCAAAAGAGCTAGAGAAAAGAAAAGTGAAAAACAAGCTGCAGTCTCTGGTAGCTGACCCCTCAGTCAGAGGCATGCAGATACAGACCGACAGACCTCCAGGACACAAGAATCAAATCACCTTAAAAAAAAAAAAAAAAAAAAAAAAGATTTTTATTAAAAAAAAACAAAACAAAAGATAAACTTGATAAAGTATACTTGGTTGTAGATATTACAAAGCAACTAAGAAAAACAAATTAAATCACAGAAAAAAGTCTCTGGGCACAATGACTACATCTACACTATGAGTTCTCTCTGCAAAAAATATGCTAGTAAGGGACTCATTTGCATATTTTCTGCCAATCCGTTTTTGCGCTGGGGTTTTTCAGTGTGGACGTTTTCTTTTTGTCCAAAAACCCCTTTTTCCACAAGATCGGTATGCCCCCCGAAAGGAGGTATAAAGATCTTGTGGAAAAAAGGTTTTTTTGTGCAAAAAGAAAACATCCACACTGTTTGTTTTTGCACAAAAACCCCAGCGCAAAAACGGATTGGCAGAAAATATGCCACTGAGATTGCGTCTCATGCAAATGAGCCCCTCATTTGCATATTTTTGCTGAGAAAACTCGTTGTGTAGATGTAGTGAGAGTGAGGTATTAAAATGGGGAGGGGAGGCATAGATTCAGAGCAGTTCAAACAAAACCACATAATAAAGAAAAATTACCAGGAAGACTACTAGATTCACTTTTCCTTAATTCCAATTTTCTCTTTGTTCAGTCCACTCCCATTCAAACCCAAAATATTTCCATCAGTAATAGTTAAATTATTTACAGGTAAGGGAAGAAAAATGCTGCTTGAGAACTTGTTAAGAGTTAAAATTGAGTGATATAAACTTCTGAATTTGGGCTTGTTACAAATGGACAAGTGAACAAACAGTTAAATCAATCAATAAAACATATCTGGTTTTAGGATATTTATTTTGTATATCTTGATATGTGATATTGTTACCAGATTTGCCCAATACTCTGGGGTATGCTCATTTATCAGGGTTACCCTGATGGGACCGGGGGAAGGTTAACAATTCTATCAGTGTGCTGTTGGTGCTTACTTGTGCTCTCATATGGAGCTGAATTCTCCCTGCTGCCAATTCCCCCTCCCACTGGAGCTCTCCCACAGGAACTAGGTACCTCAGGATGGGGTTCTTGCCACCTTGGCAACACACACAGACACTCACACCCACTAATCAGAGCACATCTGAGAGGACTGGGTACTCAGCACTCACAAGCTGACCCCCTCATATGTCCCTGGACTCAGCTGGCTGGGTTTCACAGCAATGCCACACTGCACCCTCATGTGCCTTTGGACTCCGTGGGCTGGATTAAACAGCACTTTAAGCTGCCATCCTCATAAGCCCCCAGGTTCAGCACCCCCTATCCCCACTTTCACACCACAGTCATTCACAGGTAAACCACACGATGAGCAAACCCCACAGGATTTTGGGCACTACAGGGATCTTTTGCTTGGGTACAAGAAGCGTTGTTGCAGAGCGAATGGGGAAGCCAAAACAACACCCCTTAAGGAAGAGTGAGCAAAAGAGAAAGAAAGAGAGAGAAGCAACCAGCTTAACAATGAAAGTGATTTATTTCTGAGTAGTGAATAGATATCAAACAGTTACAATATTAAATCTAACAATTACAATATTAAATCTAAATTGAAGCTGATTACACATGTTAGGTAACCATATAACAGTTTACACAGGGCAGGGTCAGGAGGCTATGCTTAGAGAGATAGTTGAGAGAGAGAGAGAGAGAGAGAGAGAGAGACCTCACCACTCCACGGAGCTTGCACTGATCGGGGTTCCCAGATGATGATGGTAGCCGGGGGTCCAGAGGGCAGGAGAAAAGCAGGACAGAGCCCCCAGCACAATCAGTCAGGAGAGGAAGAAGTCTCAATGCAACTGATGCAGTTTAAGTCCAGGTATCAGAACAGATTTCTTGGGGCAAGGATAGGAGTTTTATAGGGATAGTTCAAAGAGAAAGAGGAGAGACAATAGAGACTGATCACACCTGGTTATGGGTGATGTTCCTTGAACGAGCTCACAATGCAACTTGGCAGTTTCAGTATTTTAGATGTCAATAGGATCGTTACTAGAATTGGTCTGATAATGACTAATTTGGGTGTGAGCAGGACTAGGTTCATTAGCATCTGGAGCAGGGATTTCCCATCAGGCAGTGCTTCTCTGCTTTCGGTGTCCCATAGTTCAGTGCAGTTCCTGCCTTGGAAGAGCTGCTCTCCATTCTGTATGCTAATGAGATGTCCCTCTGTTCCATCTTTAATGCAAATGAGGCTGGGGTGTTTCCTTAATTGTATCACCCTTGTCTGAAGCAGTTTAGGTCCGTCTTCCCCGGCCTTTTCATTGCTTTGTCTTTGATTCTAGCAGAGGCCTGAGGGAGGGGGATGGTTTTCCATGATTAGGTGTGTCTTCCCCGGCCTTTTCATTGCTTTGTCTTTGATTCTAGCAGAGGCCTGAGGGAGGGGAATGGTTTTCCATGAATGTCACTCCCTGGCTCCCCAAGAGCACAAGGCTGACAGGTGACCTTGTTCTAGTTTCCCAAGAATCACAGAGCTGGTGGGTAACAATATTGATTATTAGAGGTTTTGCTGTAGTCATGTTGGTACCGGGGATGAGAGTCACAAGGTGAGCAAATAATATTTTTAATTGGACCAAATATGGTTGGCGGAAGAGACAGCCTTTGGAACTCCAGAGAGCTATTCTTTAGGTCCGTGGATCTCAAAAGGGCTAATCTCCCACCAACCAAAGCTAGTCCAAAATCAAAAGAGATATTACCTCATTCACCTTGTCTCTCTGTTTGTATTTTAACAGCTTTAAAACTTGAACTCTTTGAATCTCATCTTCTATTGTCATTAAAAAATTATCTGGCTTACCCCCATAATTTCCCACAACTGTGAAAATTATAAAAAGACAAAAAGCTTAAAAACATTTATTACTTAAAGTTATAAAAAATAAAAATAAAAAGGGCATTCCAATGAGCATATTTATAAACCAGAACACCAGGGATGGGGGAATGAGGCAGAGCCTATATTCCCACTAAGTTCCTTCTGAGTTTAAGGGCCTGATTGAAAGTGCGAGTCACAGCAATCGCACATTATCCTCTTATTTTCACACTAGGAACCCAAGTGACTTCTTAAGCACGAAGAAGGTTTGCACGTTAAGATGGGAGGAAAGAAAATTTCCTTATTGTTAATATTGATGCAATAACAATACTGTGTCCAACAACAGCTCTGACAAGGCCCCCTGTCCTGAGAAATTTCATCATCCTGTTAAGTACAACCCACCCATCTGCCTCCCATTGGGAAAGAAGCAGCAGCACCTCCCCTCCCCCCGCAAAAAAGTGAGTGAAGCTTCTGAGCCTGAGGAGCAGGGAGGACCAGACCTTCAGTTG